ATTATTAAAGCAATGGGACACAACAAGTTAAAAAGGAAGCACAACAGACACCCAATTCCCCTCTGGTAAGGGGAAAAAATCCAACATTAGAAATTACGTTTAGTCCGGACATTTCCCCCCTATAAATCCCAGGCAACGCCGGGTTATCAGCTAGTTTAAAATAAAAGTTAAATGGGATTAGGAGATCCATTGGGAAATCAGTTTCAGGACTTGTGTTTGTGTGTTGTGTTTGTGTGGTATAGCAGTAGAAGGAGGGAAGGCTTCGCCTCTCCTGTCTGGGAGTAGCTGAGTTGGCTGTTGGGAGAAACATAATATACATAATTTTCGAATTACAACCATATTGTTGCCAATTTTGAAAAACACTGGACTCAACCATGAATGGGGGAAGATTTCCCATAGAGGATTGCCTCAAATTGAAAGAGAGGTTCATACACACTTCAGAATACTTATTTCAGCAGCATTGCTAATTTCAGTGCTTTGATAGAAAGGGTACATTAACTTTTCCGCAGTCAAACATCATAGCACCGTGAGGGCGAGACTTGGGCACGGGTGCCCTAAGTGGGATGCGAAGCTATGCAGCATGCATGGCCTTGCCTATTTGTCGTTCATGTTTCTGGCGCGCACGGACGTGCAACAATCAGCTATCCTTTGCATGCACGGCAGTGCCAAAAACCGGTGTATGCATACACACCAGCCAGCTGATCGTTGGGTGCACATGCACTCTGGAAAACCAGAAGTTTGGCTTTTTCAGAGCGTGGCCCTGACGAGCAACGTTTCCACATGACCTGTTCGATACTCGGTACCGAAAAGGTTCGCCATCAATGTTACAGAGAGAGGATCATCTCTGAAGTAGCCTCATTGTCTGGACCACTTTAAAATAATTACTTTAAGGATTGCAGCCTCTAGTTTCCATGTGCGACATCATTTACTCTGGCAGAGTTCATGATCTTTGTTAGCACTTTTGATTCTCTACTCTGTTGAGGCTAAATTGCTTTAGCTCAGTTATTATATACATGAACAGAAACTCGTTCCTATCAATCCAGGGTGACCTCTGAGGCCAAGGGCTCTCAATTAAGTATGGGATAGATTTAAGATATCATGACAAGCTTCAAAATTTCTCTGTGGTTTGTTTAAATTATTCATCGAACAAACACGGATGAAATAAGATATTACCTTTTATACAGATGGTATAATTTACTAGAAAGCTATTGAATGTAAGAGAAAAAAATATACAGGTTGTCCACATCTGTTGACTGCTTGTTCAGGGACTTTTCAATGATGGTGCTGAATGATGGGATTTATGACTGGACCTGGAAGTTGCAGTTCTCACAGTGTCCCTAGGGTCACATGATTCCGATTGAGGTGACCAGCACACAATTACCGTGGCACGACAAAACCGTGCTCCACTAAAGCGCGCCCGATTAAACCGCGTCGCTGACATCATCAGCAGGGCGACAACAGCGACCGCGGAGAAAAAAGCACGCTGTAAACGCTAAAGCTAAAATTAACCTCTAAACCTAAACCTAACCCCCCTAAACCTAATCCTAAACCTAACCCTAAACCTAACCCTTAACCTAACCCTAAACCTAACCCTTAACCTAAC